GTTCAAAGTTGGGTCTTGTGCGAACTCACTTGAAACTTTAGTCTATTATGAAATTTCCAACTTGACTTATCCTTAGGGCTCTTCTTAGACCATAAACCATTCTTAATGCACCTCATACATATATTATCATGATGAATTGATATCATTCAAATTATTAGTCTTGTTTATACCCGAATTAATATAATTAGCACCCGCCAATCTTCTTAATGGTCTTAAAACACTTCGAAATTTTTCGTGGTGTTATAATTTTATATATATTTAAATTAAAAAATAATAACCAATAACTAATTATTAACTACGTATGCCATGTGGCTTTTTTATGATGCCACTTGGGTTAAGGAGATGGCTTTTCTCCTCTCCTTTTAATAATATATAGATTTTTTATTTTAAAATAATTTACAGTCTCCAACTTGAAACTACTCTCCAATTTGATTGGACAAGTTTTTTATTATAAAATATTTTATTTTATTATTTTATAGCTATTTAAATTCAAAAACAATAACCAATAACTAATTATTAACTACTTATGCCATGCGCCTTTTTTCTAGACTGCCACTTGGCTTAAGGAGAGGGCTTTTTCCTCTGCTTTTAATAATATATAGATATAGATTTGAAAACTCCAACTTGAAACTACTTTCCAATTTGAATGGACAAGTTTTTTTAATTTTTGTTTTTATTATAAAATATTTTATTTTATTATTTTATAGATATCTAAATTCAAAAACAATAACCAATAACTAATTATTAACTTCTTATGCCCCGTGCCTTTTTCTAGGCTGCCACTTGGTTTAAGGAGATGGCTTTTCCCTTTCCTTTTAATAATATATAGATATATTTGAATGGACAGTTGTTTTTCATTTTTTATTATAAAATATTTTATTTTATTATTTTATAGATATTTAAATTTAAAAACTTAACCAATAACTAATTATTAACTAAATAACTAATTATTAACTACTTATGCCATGTGATTTTGTTTTATGATGCCACTTGGCTTAAGGAGAGGGCTTTTTCCTCTCCTTTTAATAATATATATATAGAAGATATAGATAATTTAAAGACTCCAACTTGAAACTACTCTCCAATCTGAAAGGACAATTTTTTTTTCGTTTTTTATTATAAAATATTTTATTTTATTATTTTATAGATATTTAAATTCAAACACAATAATCAATAACTAATTATTAACTACTTATGCCATGTGGCTTTTTTTTTATAATGCCACTTGGCTTAAGGAGGGGTTTTTTTTCTCTCTTATTAATAATATAGATTTGTTTTTCGTTTTTTATTATAAAATATTTTATTTTATTATTTTATAGATATTTAAATTCAAAAACAATAACCAATAACTTATTATTAACTACTTATGCCATGTGGCTTTTATATGATGCCACTTGGTTTAAGGAGAGGGTTTTTTCCTCTCCTTTTAATAATATATAGATTTGTTTTTCGTTTTTTATTATAAAATATTTTATTTTATTATTTTATAGATATTTAAATTCAAAAACAATAACCAATAACTTATTATTAACTACTTATGCCATGTGGCTTTTATATGATGCCACTTGGTTTAAGGAGAGGGTTTTTTCCTCTCCTTTTAATAATATATAGATTTGTTTTTCGTTTTTTATTATAAAATATTTTATTTTATTATTTTATAGATATTTAAATTCAAAAACAATAACCAATAACTAATTATTAACTAGTTATGCCATGTGACTTTTTTTTTATGATGCCCCTTGGCTTAAGGAGAGGGTTTTTTCCTCTTCTTTTAATAATATTAGTATACATACCCACACGATGTGCGGATAATATAAAATAAATATTTTTTTACGATAGACACAAAGGAGCATTAAAATGCTATTATTTTATGAACCATTGAATGTACCGGATATTCATACATTCAAGTCATAAGGATATATAGTTATCCATTAGAAAACATCTGGCGAGGAAAGGACGTAATTTAAAATATGACACATAGGAAAAACTAATTTGTGATAGAACAACAATTATGCTACAATAACCACATTGTAGTTGCTACATATCATATCTACTGCTTGCAAAGTGCTTGGTCTTAGTCATTCATCATCATTTTTCTGAAATTCTAGTAATTGCTGAGGTTTTAGCTAAACTTTAGTGAAATAATGACTTGATAAACAATGCTGAAACAGCTAGAGCTAGTATAATTCACCCCAAGAAGTTAGCACTGTGATCATCAAACGCTCCTTTGCATTGAAGTTTACAGTAGAAATATTGAGAAAGCCAAAAATCCCAAAACATTGGATGTCTTAGGTGATACTGTCTCCATAGGCGAAGCTAAAATGCAAGACAAAAGGGAAAAAATATTGAACAGGTGCATTGATACTTTGACTGTTAAAACTTTGGAGAATATGAATTTCTGCATGCTATACATAATAGAACCAGTAAAAAGACAGTTTAAGAAGTTCATATCGGCAACACTTATATTGCTTTTTTGTTCCGAAGAAAACTTGTGGTGTTTGATGATCTAGGAGACAATCCTTCAGAAACTGATAAAATGGGATGAATTAGTAATGAACTTAACTTTAAAGAATGCCAGCACCAACCAATAAGTATTGACATAATATTTTCAAAACTAACATAAAATAATTACATAAAAATATTTAATGTCCACATTGTTTCATTGAAATAATTATGTCAAGATCAGCACAATATTTTTAAGATTAACAACAATTATTGAAAACACGAAAATCTTACTTCATAAGGTGTAATCTTTAGAACCTAAGTAAAAAATCCAATAATAGAAAAATAGTTCAATTGAGTGCACCAAAATTAGTCGATTAATATGAACCTTATCACAACTGTTATCGATGATTTGTTTCACACCTCAAAAATAAAAAGTATTGGTATTCACAAATTACTTGACTTCATGGGGTTGATCTTCACTTTTGGGCTAGCAGATTCAAATACCTTATCATGAGTCGATGATTTCAAACAGGCTATGCTTCATGTTGGTAGCCTTGCACGAGATAACTTCGAGAACATCAAATGCCTCCTTCATTGAGCAATCTAAAAGGTAAAGCGAATAGTCAATAGATTCGTCATTAGCGGGAAAGCAGCAACCAATGGAGAATTGACTTTCATTTGAATGGCGTTTGAATCTATTATATCATACGTAATATGTTTGAAGTGCACCATAGTAGCATTATATCGAAATTAAGATGTAAGTCTCTAGAACTACGAGCGAAAAGAAAATAGGAGTGTTAAAATAAATAATACTACGTTGCCAAAAACCGACGATGCAGCAGCAAAATAAAATTTTCCTTTCACAATGCACAAAGCTGTGAAAAGCAGAATGTAAAAAATTCAAAGTTGAGTTAAAAATATATATGTATAAATATACAAAGAATATGGACCTGTTTTTTGAATATATTGTAGTTCCATAGGTCTTTATTTTGAAAGGTTCAAGCGGATCGTGGTTTCAACGTTCCTGTAGAGTAATATAATTTTTTATCACGGCGGGAAAAGCTGTGAAAAACAGAACGATATAGATTTAGAACAGTATTCAATAGAATTTATGTATTAATAAAAGTAATATGGACCTGACACTTGTTTATATCATAGTTCCAGAAATCCTCTTTCCAACGATAAAAATGGATCGTGGTTTCAATGTGTCTGCGGAAATTTATGATTTTTTTAGTTAGGATGCACAAAGCTGTAGAAAGCACAATAACAGATATTTAGAACTAAAGTCAAATGCCTATATGTATAAATGTATTAATAACTAGAGCTGATTTCTAGAATTATTTTAGTTGCAGAAGTTATTATTCCAACGGCACAAGTGGATAGGCATTTCGATGTGTCTGCAAAGAAAATATGAATTTTTTAGTGAGGACGCGCAAAGCTGTAAAAAATAGAATGACAGAAAATACGAACCGACTTCAAAAGCATATTCATATTAATCTACAAAGACTTAGGATCTGATTTTTGTATATATTGTGGTGTCAGAAGTCCTCTTTCTAATGGCACAAGCAGATCATGATTTCGACTTTGTGCAAAGAGATGTTAATTTTTTTTAGTGAAGACGCTCAAAGCTGTAAAAACATAAGGGCAGAAATTCAGAAATAAGTATAAAAGAATATCTTGATGAAGATGCATATCAAAAATTATAGAAATTTATGAGAAGTAACAATGAGATATGGATTTGCGCATGCTATTTATTACATGATATAACCATAAATAAGACAGTTGAAGAACTTCATACCAGCAACAATTGAATTCTTTTTTATTCCAAAGGAAACTTCTGTTGTTGTTGACGTAGGAGGTAGTCCTTCATAAAATGACAGTATAAAACGGGATGGATTAGTAATGAACTTAATTTAAAAGAAGGGATAGTTTTTCGTAATATAGACCTTAACTTATTGTTAAATACCTGAACATGTAGAGATGTCAACATGCATGCCGCAAAGAAGTGGCAACTTAAGTGCTAATCTGGAGTTTATAGGAAGAGAGATGAGGTTAGTTTGACTGAGCAATAGGCAAAGACAACTTGGTTTCTGGCTAGAGACTTGCATTAGATTATGAATTTAATTTTTCCTGTACTGATAGCCTATGGCCAAAAGGGATTGATACTGTATGGAAGAACGGCAAGCATTAAAAAAAAAGGAAACAACTAACTGATTGGAGTAAGTGCTATAATATAACATACGCGATATTTTGAACTTCTTCCCGACAGAATGACGTGAAGTAAAATTCATGTTAATAAAGTTTGAAAATTGTGCACCATTTTTATAAGCCTTAAATTGAAGCCATACTGAATTCACTTGTATTTCGGCACTCCCGTCAGACTCCAACAACACATTAGTGATCATCCTATTGAGAAACATCTCTTCCTCAATGGGAATACTCTTGACATTAAGGATTTTGATATTTAGTACCCGAACAGATATTAATTCAAACTTTTGAATCAACGATGATATGTAATCTATTTGAAGAATTACATATATTTTGATTGCAGATGTGGTGGTGAAAGTAAACTCACCTATTAACAGTGAATGCAATAAAAACCAAACTTTAGTATATATTCAGTACATAAGTAGTAAAATACGTAGCAATGATCAGTAAATATAAACCAATTGCCACAGAATTCTTTAACTGTTGTATTAATGAATATGACAATGTAAGGGCCAGAGCCATCGTATAGATAAGGTTAAACTTTTCTCTAAATTCTTCCCACAAAGTTATTTTTAATTTTGCAGAACTGTCGAGGGAAAAAGATGAAACATAATCTAGTTGAGTAAAATCGAAAATGTAATATAAAGATATATGTTCTTAAACAAATTGAAAACAAAAATTAAGGTAAGAATTAATCCATTTTTCTGGAAGATAAAAAACAAAAGGTAGGTAAAAAGAGATGAGAGGCTTAAAAAGAAGAATTGAGGATGAAGAACTCATACAACAACTACTATGTCTCAATTCCAAGCAAGTTGAAGTTAATTATATGTGTCCTCACTAACCATATAAACTCATCTCAAACCAATAATATACAATGAGCAGAACAAATAGAAACTTCAAATAAATATTCACCTCTAATTATTTTTTCTTATCAGAATTTTCACTATCAAAGTTTCATAAAAATATAAAATTGAAGGCTATACAATGACATTGCTCGATTCAAAATTACCTCTTGAAGCATTTTCCCTGTTAGATTACTTTTTCCTTTTGGATTAACAACTTTTATACCCCAGCCAAAGAGTGCAGTGATTGAACATAGATGCAAGTAAAGACAAATTCTATACAGCTTCCATGAATCACCGCTGTTAATAGTTGAGAAAAAAAATACTTTTTCGTCAGCGACACCAGAAACACTACCACCTCGTGACACACTTGACATTTTGAACTCCCAAATAAAATGTCACTTACATACTGACTGGTCCAATAAATTGCTAGAGGCTGCATAAGCTATTCATTTTCGTCAAAACAATTAATAACAAATAGCAAATCAAAGTAGAAGAAAGATATGCAGCAACAAAATGAGTCATCACACCAGCACACACAAATGTTATAGTAAAAATACCAGTCATAGTCATTCTTGAGTATAGATGTATAGTTGAGTATTCTTGAGTAAAAATACCAGTCATAGTCATTCTTGAGTATCAATGACTAAAACAGTTAGATGTATAGTTGGAAAATTTTATTTGAGTATAGATGCAGTGAATTTGTTTTTTATATATAAATGTATATATTGAACCGTGTTTTAAACTCGTCAGATTGAGAAAAATTTAGATTAATCCACAACTTTGATGCATTCCAAGTATTGCGCACAGAATATGAATTTACAAAACAACGTACGTGTAAGATATAATGAATAACTTTCACACAGTAATGTCAAACTGAATATATTTTACCTTGAAATTTATGGGCTTTTATGAGCTGCATCACAATAATAATAAGCTGGCTGTTAGAAATTAGCAGGTGAGGTACAATTTCATCAACAAACTCGCCCCAGAATGTAGCAGACAACTTCTTCCTCCTGCCACATAGAAATAAAAATATAATTTTAGCATATGTAATTATCAAATCCATCCTTAATTGGTAGATGAATGTTTATTCTTACTCATCATCTTCTAGCTCAATATCCATAAACTTCCTAGAAATTCCACCTTGTTTGTGCGTGTGTACCTCACTAAAACCGACGATTTCTCCGATCACATCTAAAGAAAAAGAATTCGTTAAAATAAATAATAGAAAAGTTCATAATTAGAAATTTAAGGTAAAAGTTACTTTTACCGAACAATTCAGTCTCGTTCACATCAACCTTATTTATCAATTGATCATATGGTCGCAAATCAAAGATATTCATTGGAAAAAGTGGATCAGTTGTTTTAGCCACTGTTGTCCGTTGAGTAAACGTCAGCCTCAACCTATGTTTTGTGGTGTTGAACTTCTCCTTATTATGACAAACGATAAAGTTCGTCATATGATATAATCCAAGCTCAGTAATTTATATTTTGAAAAGATGCAAAATTGACTTGCCAATAGAAGTATGTATCTGATCGTCCTACAAAGAAATTACATTAAATAACAGAAAGTGTTTGAAGGACTTAGTAATACTGTCACACCTCCTTTTTCCCGCGAGGATAGGGGATAAGGGAGTTTTTCCAATTTAAGTGACATAATTCAAAATAGGATTATTTATTTATTCAGAGTCGCCACTTGGAATAATTTATGGTGTCCCAAGTCACTGGTTTGTTTTAAAATCCCAGATCGAGAAAATTGACTCTATTTTTATGGTCTGCGAACACACAAGACCGGGTAAGGAATTCTGTTAACACGGAAGAAGGTGTAAGGCACTTTCGAGTTCCGTGGTTTTAGCACGGTCGCTTAACAATTACACTTAGCTCGATTATCTGATTATTGCATATTTTGAACCTATGTGCATTTTATTCCTTTTGCCACTTTAAATATTTTTGGAATTTATTTGAACAAGTCGCAATGTCGTGCACTCATTTATTTTTTTGTACACATTGCGAATCGCGCCACGTGAAACGCACCTGCGATTTACAACATGTTCGTTTTATTATTATTTGAAGTTCTGGTCGAGTCACGTGAAACGCACACTCGAATTGGGATTTACGTATCGCGACCATGCCCCGGGAACCGTACCCATAATCACGATGATTTATTATTAATCGCACCTAAAGAATAGCTACGATGTTCATGAGTTATTCATTTGCTAAAGTTTAAGACTATTTGGGAATGTCCAAGAATTATAGAATCCTTTATGCACATGATTACTGGCGAAATGACTTATCTAACGAACTTTCTTTCATTTTTTTATTATTGATTAATAATTAATAGAAGAGCAGAGATGTTATTAATTGAATAAAAATCAAGCAACTAAATATCAAAAACAGAAGGCTGTCCATTCGAGACCCAAAGAAAATTCACAGACAAGTTATATGGCCATTAGCAATTAATTCTAAACTTAATCAAACTGAACATAATACTTATTAGTTGCATAATTTAATTCCAACCCTCCAAACATCAAAATATGCAAATCAAAAGACCACGGACACAAATAAAGTATTTAACAAAGAATACACAATATCACTAGTAATGTTGAAGCAATAAGGAAAAAGAAAACAAACCTTTTATTAGCTTTCAAAGTATACAAAGAAAGGCACGTTGAAGAAGCTAACAACGAACAGACCCGCTAACAATAGACCATGTCGGAACCTCGAAACTCGCCGGGAAAAGCTCGTCGGAAAATTCAACTCGAACCCGACCAAAACGTTGTTGTTTTGTGAGGAAAGAGGGTTATTTTTGAGCTGTTTTTCAGCTGAATTTGGAGCTTCATTGGACTGGTTTTACTAGTGGTCTGAGGCTGGTTTCTATGGCTAAAACAGTGAGGGTTAGGACGAGAGGGAAACAGTGGAGTGACGAAGGGAAATGCTCGTCAGCAAACTGGTGGTCAGCTCCAGCAGCGGCGATGGCTGCTAAAAGCGAGAAGTGTGCGAGAAAACAAAAACAAAAGAAAAGAGCAGTGAGAGGAGGGGGTGAGCAGCGGGGCTGGCCATAGTTGCCGGTATTTTTTCGGCTACTCGTCGGCGATGGAGATCAAGAAGGGTGGTCGGCTTTTCCTTTTTCTCTGTTTCCTGAAATCGATCCCCTCTATATCTCTCGTGCTCTCTCTATCTTCTCCTTTTTTTAGCCCCCAGTTCTTTTTGTTTCTCTATCTATCCACACTCTATTTCTGTTTGTTTCCCCACCCCTGCTTTCCCCATTCTTTTTCCTCTATGCGGTCAACGTCCGTTTTTTATAATGTGGGGTGAATATATGAGGATAAAATGAAAGAATGTGGATAGAATATTCTTCCAAAAAACTGAAATGGCCAAAACACGAGTCTGCCCATGTGATGCTATGAGAATTTTGGATAAAAAGAAATCAAATTTTGTTATGAAACTTTGTCATTTTGTGCTGAGATGGCATAATCTCATTTGCTCACTTTTTATTTTTTTGGCTGATTTTTTTTTCTTGATAATAACTAAAAGAAAAACAAAACATAATCCTACTAAACTAAAAATAGCAAGGTAAAATTACTACATACTCAATATCTTATTTATTAAAGCATCTAACTTAGAAATTAAATTAATATAGACGTAAAACATAATAAAAAATTTTAAAAACCTTTTTTTTTCTTTGCAAATGAAGATAAAACCTATACTAAAAATGTGACTCTTCTTTTTTTATTTTATTATTGTTTTCAATTTTCTTAAGTAATATATATAAAAGTAGAAATAAGAGTTAAAATATGTAGATTAAACTTAAAATATATTTACATACTAAAAAGTGATGAAAAACTCAAATATAGTCAAAAATTAGGTATTCACAAATACAATAATTCCAGATTAACTGTCACGACCCAATTTCCCCCTCCGTGTGATGTCATGACGGCACCTAGTCTCTACAACTAGGTAAGCCTAACATTTTGCGGAATATTGAAATAAAAATATAAATTTAATCAATTATTCAAAAATACACAACAAATCCCAAAAGTCGGAACATCGTGAATCACAAACGACAGAAGGAAAAATCTAGTGTCTCTATACATCAGAATCTAACAATGAAAAATAGAGAAGATAATAGATATGAGAAAGAGTCGAAGGGGACTCCGAGGTCTGCGGACGCGGCAGATATACCTTGAAGTCTCCAAAACTATCCCGGCTCACTGATAGTGCGGCTGATAAGGTGTACCCGGATCTGCACACGAAAAATATGTGCAGAGAGTAGCATGAGTATACCACAATCGGTACCTAGTAAGTGCCAAGCCTAACCTCGATCGAGTAGTGACGAGGTCAGGTCAAGGCCCTACTGGTAAATATATAATAAAACAATATAGAGTATAACGCCGCAATAAAATAAAGGCTGAAATTTAACAACAATGAAATCATAGAAGGTAACAGCTTAGTACACAGAAACACAACAGGAGATTTCCCGAGATACCATCTCGTAGTCCCAAACGTAAATGTGCAGGGGGATCTCCCGGAATACCGTTCCGTAGTCCCAGAGTAAATGTGCAGGAGGATCTCCCGGAATACCGTTCCGTAGTCCCAAAGTAAATATGCAAGACATGGGGATCTCCCGGAATACCGTTCTGTAGTCCCAAAGTAAATATGCAGTACAGGGGGATCTCCTGGAATACCGTTCCGTAGTCCCAAAGTAAATATGCAGCGCGAATGATAGAAATACAACTACATCACGAAGTTCTTACAATTTAGACTAAGTACCAGTCAGGGAAGAAGCAGAAAATTCACTAAGCATGCTGCACATAATTCACATAAATAATTAAGACACGTAGACATGTTGTATTAGACTAAACATGATAGCTACACATATTGGAATAACTCAATTAAGAATGAGAATAGATTAATACTCATTAAAATGGTATAACTCAAAATAATAGCAAAACATGTTGTTGCTCGATAAGAAAATCGGGTTTTACCACAACTAGCCCGTGTACGTACTCGTCAGCTCACGTACACATCGCTCACATAACACAATGGTTCCAAATCTTAAGGAAATTTCCCTCCCACAAAGTTAGGCAAGCCACTTACCTCGAACCAAGCTCAATCAATCAGTCACAATGCCTTTCCCACGAATATCCGGCTCTGAATGGCCCAAATCTATCCAAAAGCAGTTACATATCATAAATACAACAATAATAGACTCATCTAATTAATGAAATCAACACTTTAACAAAAATTTCGAAATTGACTCAAAACTTGCCCGTGGGACCCATGTCTCGGAATCAGGTAAAAGTTACAAAATAGGAACGCCCATTCCACCAAGAGTCTAACCATACCAAAATTACTAAATTCCGATACCAAATGGACCTCCAAATCCACAAATCAAACTTCCAAATCTCTAACCTTCAACTTCCAATTTTCACCTTAAATACACACTAACTAGGTGGGAAAATACATGGCAAAGTAAGATTATTGATCAAAAATAAGCACAAGTGACTTACCTCAAGAAATGCCTCGAAAATGCTCTCAAACATCGCCCTAAACCGAGTTTGCAAAGTCAAAAATGACAAAAATCATGAAGCCCTTTGATTTTAACCACTGCCCAGGTATTTCCGCACCTGCGGAACCTGGACTCGCACCTGCGGATGCGCTTGTGCGGAAATTGTGCGCATCTGCACAATTCACTTGCCCCCTTTTCCTTCGCACCTACGATGAAAGGGTCGCATCTGCGCGTGCGCGCCTGCAGAATTTCCTTCCGCTTCTGCGGACCTTGCGCACCTGCTAAGACCCCTAATGCATCTGCGGGCATCGCAGATGCGGAAAATACCTCGCACCTGCGACCCCTGGCACTCCTTCATTTTCCCGCTTCTGCGCCAATTTACTCGCACCTGTGGGCAGACTTGCGCAGGTGTGATTACAGCAGAACCAGCAAAAACACCAGATTTTCCTAAGTCCAATTTCATTCCGTTAAGCATCTGAAACACACCTAAGGCCCCCGGGACCTCAACCAAACCTACCAACCAATCCTATAACACGATACGAACTTAGTCGAGCCTTCAAACTACATCGAACAACACCAAAAATCATGAATTAAGCACAGATTCAAGCTAAGAACTTAGAATTTTTCAAATTCTACAAACAACGCCGAACCACTCCAAATCTAGTCCGAATTACCTCAAATTTTACACACAGGTCACAAATGACACTACGAACCAACAGCCACTTTCGAAAATCCATTCCGAGCTCGATATCAAAATTTCCACTATCGACCGAAATCGCCGAAAAATCTAACTTTCGCCAATTAAAGCCTAAATCTACTACACCTCCAAAACACATTTTCGGATGCACTCCTAAGCTCAAAATCACTCAACGGAGCTAACGGAGTTGACGAAATTCTATTCCGGATCCGTCTTCACACAGTTCTGACTACGGTCCAAATTCTAAGACTTGAGCTCTCATTTAGGAACTAAGTATCCCAAAACACTCCGAAACTCAAAACCAATCATCACGGCAAGTCACAATAGCTGAAATATATATGGGGAAAGCAGATATTAGGGTATCGGGACTCTAATTCTCAAAATGACCGGTCGGGTCGTTACATCCTCCCCCTCTTAAAATAATCGTTCGTCCTCGAACGAGTATAAAGACATACCTGAAAGTGTGAAAAGATGAGGGTACTGGCTGCGCATATCCTGCTCGGCCTTCCAAGTTGCCTCCTCGACCAGTTGTCCCCTCCATTGATCCTTCACAGAAGAAATGTTCTTTGAACTTAGCCTTCTGACCTGCCTGTCTAAAATAGCCAATGGCTCCTCAACATATGATAGATCCTTGTCCAATTGAACTGAGCTAAAATTCAACACATGGGACGGATCGTCGTGATACTTTCGGAGCATAGAAACATGGAATACCGGATGAACTCCTGCTAGACTGGGAGGCAAGGCAAGCTCATAAGCAACCTCCCCAACTCGACGCAACACCTCAAATGGACCAATGAACCTTGGGCTCAGCTTGCCCTTCTTTCCAAACCTCATAACACCCTTCATAGGCGAAACTCGGAGCAAGACTCGCTCTCCAACCATGATTGCCACATCGCGAACCTTCCGGTCAGCATAAATCTTCTGTCTGGACTGGGCTGTGCCAAGTCTATCCTGAATCACCTTCACTTTTTCCAAGGCATCCTGAACCAAGTCCGTACCTAATAATTTGGCCTCACCGGGTTCGAACCAACCCACTGGGGACCGACACCGCCTACCATACAGAGCCTCATACGGTGCCATCTGAATGCTGGACTGATAACTGTTATTGTACGCAAACTCCGCAAGTGGCAAGAACTGGTCCCAAGCACCCCCAAAATCTATCACACACGCACATAGCATATTCTTTAATATCTGAATAGTGCGCTCGGACTGCCCGTCCGTCTGAGGGTAAAATGATGTGCTCAACTCAACCCTAGTACCCAACTCATGCTGTACAGCTCTCCAGAATCGTGATTTAAACTGTGTACCTCGGTAAGAGATAATGGATACCGGTACGCCATGAAGCCTGACGATCTCACAGATGTAGATTCGAGCTAGCTGCTCGGAAGAATAGGTAGTCATCACAGGAATTAAATGAGCCGACTTGGTCAACCTATCCACAATCACCCAAACTGCATCAAACCTCCGTTGAATCCGTGGGAGTCCAACAACGAAATCCATAGTGATCTGCTCCCATTTCCACTACGGAATCTCTAACTTCTGAAGCAATCCACCTGGACACTGATGCTCATATTTTACCTGCTGGCAATTCAGACATCGAGCCACATACTCTACTATGTTCTTCTTCATTCTCCTCCACCAGTAATGTTGTTTCAAGTCCTGATACATATTTGCAACACCCGAATGAATAGAGTACCGCGAACTGTGAGACTCCTGGAGAATCAACTCACGCAAACCATCCACATTGGACATACATAGCCTGCCATGCATCCTCAATACACTATCATCTCCAATAGTGACCTCATTTGCATCACTGTGCTGGACTGTGTCCTTAAGGACAAGCAGATGGGGGTCATCATACTGACGTTCCCTAATACGATCATAAAGAGAATACCGAGAGACCACACAAGCCAATACTCGATTCGGCTCAGAAATATCCAATCTCACAAACTGGTTGGCTAAGTCCTGAATATCCAACGCTAATGGCCTCTCTACTGCTAGTAGATATGCTAAACTCCCCAAACTCTCTGCCCGGCGACTCAAAGCATCGGCCACCACATTGGCCTTCCCAGGGTGGTACAA